CGCTACAACTGGGCAGTAAAGGGCAATGGAGTGAAGGAAGAGGATGGTTTTACACTTGTAAAACTGAATCATAGTCAAGTCTCCTTTTGAAGGGATCCATACATACTAGCCTCTCAAGCAAAGCAAGTGTTTTACCTAAGGGAAGATGACTCATCAACTTGGTATGTTGCAATGAGAGGTCCTTCGAGAAGATTCAGTCAGAAAGAGTTTCAAGATGCAGTTGCAGACATTGGGCCATTGCCAACAAGTGTTGACATTGATGTTGACTTGGATGAGGCTGAAAATGAGAGATCTGATTGTGAAGGGATATATGTGTGAAATGTCTGATTTTTTACCTTAGCTCAAGTCTGATGTCTGCTTTTTTTTTTTAATTGTTTTTCCATTGTGTGTTTGATAGTTATTATGTTTGTTTTGCTTTGATGTCTGCTTTTAGTTCTCTTTAATCTACTAACTCTTTCTTCTTTCATTTTTATTAGGTGATTTAAAATGGCTGGGCGCAAGAAAAAGCGAGGAAGAAACACTAAAAAAAAGGATGAGGAGGTAGAGTATGTGGGTACAATGGAACCACAACAAGAAGAACCAGCTGAAGTTCAAGCTGAAGATCCAGATCATTTGGAACCACAACATGAAGAACCAGCTGAGGTTCAAGTAGAAGTCCAAATGGGTGATAAAGAACCACAACATGAAGAACCAGCTGAGGTTCAAGTAGAGTCCAAATGGGTGATAAAGAACCTGATGTGGAAGAGCCAGAAGGAGAGATAGAATTTTCTGAGGGTCATGAGGTTGCTATTGAACCTAAGAGTAAGAGACAGCGAGGACCAACTAGGATGAAAGACATAGCCAAGGATCCAAATACCAGAGTTAGAGTAGAGTACAATATCATGGGAGAGCCTATTGGTAAAGGGTCAGTTAAGCTGTCATCATATGTTGGTGCATTGGTCCGAGAACATGTTCCTATCACAATTGATCGTTGGACAAAAATAGGTGAAGAAATCAAGACACTTCTCTGGAAATCTGTCCAGGTATCATTTGTCTAATTTTTCTTGTATTGCATTACGTTTTATCAGATATTGTAATTAAATTTACTGTTTTTTTCTATTGAGTGCAGGCTAGGTTTGAACTAGATGAAGAGTACCAAAAGGTTGCAGTGCTTAAGCAGATGGGATGTTTGTGGAGGTCCTGGAAATCAAAGCAAGTTACAAACATCAGAGAAGCTAAGACTAACCAGCAGAGGATGAATCTGCGACTTAAAAATGTTTCTCCAACCGATTGGCGTAAATTTGTGAAGCTCAAAACTAGCCAAGAATTTAAGGTATGCATCTGGAATCAGGATAATTAAGTTTATGTACTATATAGTATATTACAAGTTAACATTCATCTGTTAGGTTGTAAGCGATAGCTACAAGGAAAGAAGGCGCAAACAAATTCCTCACACTTGTAGTCGCAAGGGAATGGTTAGACTAGCAGAAGATATGGTAATCACATGACAGTTATGTTGTTTATATTGCTCAGCTTCTTTTTAAAACACTTATTAATATGTAATGATTTTTGTTTGGTTTAGAAAACTGGTAGTGCAGACCCATCTGAAGTGACAAGGCTAAAGGTTTGGGTTAAATCACGTACCAAGAAAGATGGTACACCAGTGAACACTAATGCTGCTGAAAAGATTGTGAGTTTAAAATTTTGCTTCTAATGATGTGCATATTGGCATTTGATTCTTAATCTGCTATTGAATCTGTATCTTATGAGTTGCAGAAAAAGGCAAATGAGATTGTTAACAGTGATGATCCATCGACTGCAACAAATGAAGCACAACAAGATTCACTTAGCCAACTGTTAGGGCCTGACAATCCTGGTAGAATGAGGGCAATGGGTAGAAATATGAATAAGACCAAGTTAGCTTGTTTCCAAGTGAAGCACAAGTGTATGGCTCAAATGCAAGAGAATCAGATTCAGCTCCAGCAGAAGGTCACTGAGTTAGAAGATGTAATTCTGAAAATGAAGAATCAGGTTAGAAACTTATCTATTTATACATTGTGAAGCTTATCTATTTATACATAAAGAAGCTCAAATAGTTCATAGTATTTGACTTTGTTTTTTATGTAACAGAGACAATCACCTGAGGTTGGTGAAAACTCAGCTGCAAGAGTAAGTGACTTATATCAAATGTTTTTGATTTCTTTGTTACTTTATAATCTAATATATTTTTCTTCTAATTACTTTTATAGAGTGTGAATAAAAGATCACAACCAAAGTGTGTCTTGATTGATTGGGCTGGTTCTGAGGAAAAAGTTGCTGAGGGGCTTATTATGTCTTCTGATCCTGATGAATTAGTTAATGAAAGTCGCTTAGGCCCTACGGATGTTAAAGTCTTGATTGTCACTGCTATTGTACCAGAAGCATTCCTTTGGAGACCTGCGATTAACATGTGCACCATTGAGAAAGCTGTTGGACATATGGTGGCCTGGCCATCTAGTTTGTGTGTTAATCTAGAAGAGGAGCTCCAACCAGAAGACATTGCAACCCTGGTAAACTTTATCACTCATTCTCATACTCATACATAGAAAGTATATGTTAACACTGGTTGAATGTGTTTGACAGGGATCAAGACCTAATTCTGTGAACAAGTGCAAGCTACTGGATTTGTCTTCATATGATGTTGTTGTTGCAGAAGGACGTTGGCAGACACAAGATGCCAATGCATTAGTTAATGGGCTTCCTCTCGGACCAGCAGCAGTGAAAATATTTGTGGATGCAGTGATTCAACCTGAGACATTTATATGGAGGCCAACGATTGATGTCATGTACCTTGAGGACTGTTTACAGTCTTCTGTAGCTTGGCCTGCCAACAAAGTTGTCTTTGAAAACCATGCAGATGCAACATGTCAGAAGTCTCCACTTCATCAGGCTTCTGCATCAACTCATCAAACAACAACAGAAAAGGCAGCAGCATCAGGAGGAACAGCACCATCATCAGGTCCACTAAATGCAGCAGCTGGTTATAAGTCTTCTCTTGAGATATCAAAATCCGCAGCCACAACAAAAGGAACGAAATCCGCAGCCACAGTTTCAAAATCTCTTGTTGAGAAGTCTCCAGCAACATGTTCAAAGCCTCCTGTAAAGAAAAGTCAGTTAGCTTCACCCTCCCCTCTACGAAGATCTCCGGTAAATTTAGCAGATGTTGTTACTTACTGATTCTGGTTATTATTATACATGAATTAAACCTGTTTATATTGTAATATGGCAGCGTAAAACTGGAGCTGAAGTTATCAAGGCTAATCAGAAGTGCAAGTTAATGGATATTAGTGGAAAGAGGCGGGTGGTTGGTGAAGGACGTGTGCATTCAATCGACCCAGACCAAAAGGTACACCATGTTCGCTTGGGGGCAAATGCAGCTAGAGTTTGGGTAGATGTAGTGAAGATAGATGATGCAGCAGTTTGGAGGCCATCAGATGAAATCGAGTATATGAGAGATTCACTTGGTTCATCTATTGCATGGCCAATGGATAAGTTGGTCATCTATTGAGTAGATGAAGAAACTGGGGTAAGTTTTGTAATTACTGTGATGCTTGTGTTTTGCTTTTATATCTGCTACTGATATGAGACTTTGTTGATTGTTGCAGGGAATGAAGAAACTTTGGTCCAGATTAGGTAGTTTTAATTAGTTTAAGACTAGACTAATCAGCTTCTGTTATGTACTTTGGAATCAGACTTGTTATGTCTTTTGGATTTAGACTTGTTATGTTGAATGATTCTGTATAACTTTCTAACTTTTGAATTGGAATCAGACTTATGTTACAATTTATATTCAGACTTATGTTTTCATGTTTATATTATGCAAAACAGGTATAGAATCAAAATATATAGCTCTCTGAAAATATATATAATAGCAAAATTAAAAGCCATAATTAAATTAAGTATAGCAATTCTTCACTGTCATTGTAGAAAATCAGATATTATAGCACAAAAAATGAAGCTACGAAAACAAATTAAACAGCAAGAACAAATTGCTAACGTAGAAGAACCTATTATAGCACAAAATTTGAATTGTCGTTACTTTTTAACAAAAATTTCATCTGCTATATCAAAATAAATAACAGCAGTTAAATAAAGCTATTGTATCTAAAACTATCATAGCATATCAAAATAATGCTATCGTAGGGGAAACACCTACCATAGCTGCCGATGTCACAGCATTTGTGATTTCGCTATCAATAACGTAAGATAGCAGATGGTTTGCGCTATCAATGAACGTTTTTCTTGTAGTGGTACAAACAAAAGCATTGTCTTTTTAGTATCTATCTTTAGCGAAAAAATTGTCTTTTTTTTCTTTAGTCTACCAAGTCAAATCTTTCTTCAATCCTGTCGTTTATATTTTATTTCGGCAACTCGGCACTAGCTAGCTACCAATATTCAATGATCATTTTTTTCCCTTTTTTTTTTTATAGAATTTGATTTTAAATATAAGGAATTGGAGTATTTGTTGTGGGGAGATGATATATTATCCGATTGTCACTCAAACTACATGTGGACACGTTGCGGTAGAATTTCTAACCAAAATTTTTAAAACATATTGGCTTTGCGGATGAACGCTAAACCTAGGCTACAATGGCTTAATATCCTAATAAGGAGCTAATAAAACGCGGCTCACTATCCTTCCTAAGTAATTATGGCAAACAAACCAGTGTCCGCATCACACAAAGCCGACTAAGTGCATTTGTACGAAGAGTCATTTACCTCAAACACGCATAAAACGTTCCATCGACGGATACAATATCTACCACAAGTAAAAGACTACACCAACACAAGCCAGTAACATCGCACATTGCATCCAGTCTTCTAAAGTCCTAAGACTAGATTGACCTAACACAAAAACTGAATATAAGATAAAAATCATGTATTTTCTTATAATTACTCTCTCATTATCTTCCTAGAAATCGAAAAATGTTTGGAAAAAACGATAAATATATATATCAAAAATTCAAAACATTTAGTCGTGTACACAAGCCTCATGTTAAATAAATGTTTGACCTTACATTGTTGGCAACATCTCTTCAATCCGTCCCTTATCAAAATTCTCCGATTGGAGTACTCCAACCCCCATCCAGGAACCCTTCTTCGTTCACTGAATCACTTACCAAACTCACTAAATATCAAATTGGACATGAACCACTTTTTAACAGGGTCCAAAACTAGATCTGTCTTTTTTTTTTTTCCATATATATCCGTCTTGCAGTCTAATCACGTTACATTTTTCTACTTTAAGTGTCAAAAAGTTTTCGGAGAACAAATAGTTTTTCCTCGAGAATGTGCATCCTGAATCGAAAGTCGAAGGAGAAGGTTAGAAGCCAAAAACCAAGTGAAGCGGAGTTACTCTCCTTGCGCTCACCCGTAATCTAACACATATGACGTTCCACGACGAACACTCCTCCCTAAAATTGCAATCGTTTGGTAAATCCAAAAATATCGTCCCCAACAATATATTAAAAATTGAATAACCCTTTCTATATTAACCACTTTTTAAAAAAACATGCACATACAATATCACTGGTCATTGGCAAGACCGAGTACAAAGTTTCCTTGCTCGATATATCTTCCAAGCAACAATGTATACCATATGGCGTGAGAGAAACGGGAGACGACATAGCGAGACCCCGAACCCAGCGGATCGTCTAATCAAATGGATCGATAAGCAAGTCCGAAATCAACTCAGTTCAATCCGAGCAAGCGGGGGTAGGCGCTATGATAAGGGCCTCCAAGCTTGGGTTGCATCAAAAATCTAATCATTAAACATTTTTAGTTCCTATTTTAAATTCCTTTTCAATTAAACGTTGCACATGTTGTAAAAACGATATTTTTTTTTTGAATTTAATTTAACATTACATTAAAAAAAAAAACAATATCATAATGTAAGTGTAAATGTATACATACAAGTAACACACAATCGACTATTTTTTTAATCATTAACTATTTGTTCTAAAAGAACTTATTTTTTTAATCATTAACTATTGGTTAGATTAGAAAGAAAAACTTAACTTAATGCACGGCAAATTGGCAATTGTCCGTGTTTCAAATTTGGTTACGATTTTCATGATTTGTTTTCGTTAAATATTATAAAGTTGAAAGTCATGTTTCAACGTATTCATATAATTAAGTTAAAAACTTAAAGCATAAAATCTCTTAAAAAATTTCAACGACGGAAATTATGGGAATTCTTGTTTTCCTCCCAGTGATTGATGGGCATTCGAAAGAAAATGATTATCATAATTCATAAGACAACAAGAAACATGAGCGGGTCAATGGTAGGTATGATATTCTTTGGTTTCGATTATGATGGGATGGTGTGTGTTTTCTCATATGCGTACATTTATCTTTGAAGATTTACAATGATTCAGATAGATATCTTTCAGGTATTTATGAAATAAATTTAAAACTTTATATAGAATTTTAATTTTATAGAGTTTTAGGTATTTTTATAGATCCATAACTGAAAACCTACGAGTATAGTGAATTCGAATAACTATTTTACGGTCATAACATTTGGATATCTTAAAATTTCAAGGTATCTTCTTAAAATTCCAAACCTTAAGTAATAAATATAGGAAAAAAACAAAAAGAGACAATAGACATGAAACGAAAGGAGATCCTTTAAGAACGCGTAATTTGTCTGCTCGCACGGTCTTTGATTGCTTCGTGCATTTAACGCTTTGATTGTCATTATTATTGTTTGGTCTCCTTTCTCCTTTAGAAGTCTTTTTCTTTTTGTGTGTAAACATACCAAACAAGCATCCAATGCAAACACACAAATAGATATTGAAGTTTATCCAGACAACTCTTGTGGACCGGTCTTATTCTCCCAATATCAAAGTTTAGCCCAACCCAATTTCAGTTTCTTCGACGTATCTTTTAACATATAACATGTTAGTCCAATTAAAGTCGACAAGTTCGAATTATTTTCTGAAAGCGGAATAGATTTTGAAAATTGGAAAGGGTTAAACTATTAAAATTATGAAAAAGCTATTTTTGCAAACGTTCGATATTTGTTTATTTATTATATATTATTTTCTTTCGTCTTTCTAAATCTTTGGATGATGATATCACTAATCAGAAATAAAGTCAACGAATTGCACCGTACGTTTTTATACCTCAACAAAAATCTAATGTTGTTTTTTTTTTATTTTAATGCGTAATTTATTTTTTAAAAACTATCCAAACTCTATAATTTGGGCCTAAAATAAAATTGACATAAGTATGAGTTAATCAACCATTGATTGAGCCGATTTGGTGACAGTGACGTATCAATTATTTTTAACATAACTACGTCATTTTGATCGTTCGAGTCCATAAACTCAAAATGACGTTGTTTTGAATTGTTTTTAAAATAAATTAATATTAATAATGATTTTTTTAAAAATAAATATTCATAGAGAAACAACAAAGGCCCAAATCTGATTGCCAGAATTGTTACAAAAGAGAATCGCTGCCAATCGTACGTAGCAACCGGATTATTCTTATGGTTAAAACACCTTTTTGGAGAAGAAAGTAGTACTGCCTAGTGTAGTACTCAATGAAGTTGATCTAGAGTAATTGTCTTTGATCCGTTTACCTTTTTTATATGTTTGCTTGGAAATCATGAAATATAATTCAATCTTTCAGTAAAAGAAAAAAAAAGAAGAGAAACAACAAAGGCGATTGCCATGTAAATGGAGATCTGCATGAATGTCCATCTAAAATCAGTCTACGTGTACTTATTTCCAGCAAAAGATGATTTAATGGGTTCTTAGCTAAAGCCGGTCCAATAGCATGATCGTCCTCCCTTAAATATAGGATTCGATTCCCACCTTTAATATTTGAGAGAGTTACTAGATTAACCCAAATTTTGAGTTTAATTACTAGATTGACTCACAAATAATTTGAGTTAAATGAGTTATTTTCATACCTAAAATACCCTTGTCTCATGTGTAAAAAAAAAAAAAAAAAATACCATTCATAAAAAATTCCAGCAATTTTAGAAAAATCTGTTATCTACTTAACAGATTTCTTTGATTATGGTTACGACAGACTTACAAAATTTTAGCAGATTTGTTTTCCTTGACAGATTTGTTTCCATTCAATCACAGACTTGAACAATTTGTGACAGACTTGAACAATTTGTGACAGACTTATTGTAATGTCTGGCTGATTCAATTTGTAAGTAGCGGCAGATTTATTATTTTCGGAAAAAAACTGTCATGTTGTGACAGATTTGCTTACTAAAAATTAATTACTAGATTGACCTCTAATGGTAGCAGATTTGTTCTATGTTATGACAGATTTTTATAATGTTACCATAAATCTGTCGTGTTACAACAGATTTGTTTTCAAAATATAATCTTTTGTGTTATGACAGACTTGTTTTATGTTATGACAGATTAAATTATATTACCACAAATCTGTCGTTTGATGGCAGATTTGTTAAATTAATGAAAGAATTGCTAGAATGACCTTATAATGTTTGTATGTTGCGACATATTTGTAATTATGAAACCCTTTCATGACAGTTTTTTTTTTTAATTTCTGGCAGATTTTTTTCCTATAATAATATTTATAGTGGTGACAGTTTTTTTTTTTTAATTGTAATGACAGACTTATTAGACCAGTTACCATATTTACCAATAAAACATTAAATGTCGACATCTAGGGTTTTTGTGAAAAAGCGTGGCCTCCATTGTTTTCTTTTCTCCAACGTGGAGCTGTTAGGTTTTATCTTTTTGGGGTTTCTTTCGATTTCATCATATTTTTCCTATTGGGGTTAAGCAAATTACGTATTTTTTTTTAGTTTTTTCTCTCAATTTTGGGTTCTTCTTCTCGTGTCTGGGTTTAGAGAAAAACAATGTCACACAGCAAAGGCGATGGATTGGATATGGATCAGATGATTGTCGTATGTGGTAGTTGGATCTATGAAAAAAATCAATGGTTATTTGTTGTTGATAATGATAGGGGTTGTCGTATTGTAGAAGGTAACCGTCAAACCAGTTATGCTGATTGCATTCAAATGGTGTATAAAGATTACAGGCTGGATCACAGAGAATATGATGTCGTGTTGAGCTACAAGCTTTCGAAGGTGTTGTTGTAGAACTTACCTGGTGATACACCTCCGGTTATTATTGGTAATTGTCGACAATTACACAATTTTTTGGGTCAACTGAAGAGGGAAACAGTTAGACTTTGCGTTGAAGTGAAGAAGAAAGTATTGGTTGAATCAAAACAAAATTACAAAAAACGAGCAAGAACCATGAACGATTTCGTCAATGAAGATGACGATTTTAAGAAGGCATTGAGTGATCAATATGTTGATAGTAAAGAAGACGAAGACATTGACGATGAAGAAACGAGATTCGATTACTGTGACGATTCTGATGGTACAGACTCCGATGATGAAAATTTTACCTTGTATGGGATTCCTCCAGAAGAAGAAGAAAAACCCAACGAATTGTTACCATTGAAGAAAAGGAGTTCAGAGATTTTTATTGAAGAACAAAAGGAAGATGCTAATTTCTTGAAATTAGACTTGTCTTGTGTCAATTTGGCTATTGGTCAATCTTATGAAACGAAAGAACATTTGGAGACGCGATTGAAGATACTAACTGTGGTACAAAAGTTTGATTTTTATGTTGATAAGTCGACACCATTTTTGCTGATTGTCAAGTGCTGGGTAAAAGGCTGTACGTGGAGGGTGAGAGCTACAACATCAAAGGATTACCCAAAGTTTCACGTCCGTGTGTTTATTTCACAACATACATGTTCAGTGACAGAGCGTTCTTCACGTGCCCGACAAGCAACTCATGATATTCTTGCTTCGTTGTACAAGGATTTTGTTGGTGGAGTTGGGCCCACAGTATTGCCAATGCATGTTGCTGAAGCGTTGAATAAACGCTTTCAGATCAAGGTAAAATAGTGGTAGCTATTTTTAAATTTTTATTACATATTCAATTTGATTCACCTAAACAAATAATATTTTGTTTTGGATAGATGGATTATTGGAAAGCTTATCGGACGCTAAGGCATGCTCGCGAATTGGTTAGGGGTAGTCCTGAGAGTGGTTACGAGCAGCTACATACTTACTTGTACATGCTAAGGAGGGCAAATCCTGGTACTTATACGTGCCTTGATGTTGACGAGACCAATCAATTTAAGTACTTGTTTCTAGCCTTTGGAGCAAGCATGAATGGATTTCCTTTCATGAGGAAAGTTGTTGTCGTTGACGGGACATTTTTACAGGAGAAATACAAAGGGACACTTCTGACGGCAACTGCGCAAGATGGTAATTTTCAGATTTTTCCTATAGTTTTTGCCGTGGTTGATACAGAAAATGATGAATCATGGGACTGGTTTTCAAGCAACTCAAGTGTGTTATTCCAGATGACGAGAGCCTTGCAATTATTTCGGACAGGCACAAATCAATAGGAAAAGCAATCGCTGCGGTTTATCCAAAGTCTAGCCGGGGAATATGTACATACCATTTTTACAAGAATGTATTGGTTCGTTTTAAAGACCGGGAAGCATTTTGTCTGGTTAAGAAAGCGGCGAATGCATTCAGACAAGTCGATTTTCAGACAATATTTAATCAGATTGAAGCGTTGAATCCGCTTCTTCATGATTACCTTGAGAGAGCTGATGTGCGACTATGGACACGTGTATATTTTCCTGGTGATAGGTACAATTTGCTTACAAGCAACATTGCAGAATCAATGAATAAGGTGATGTCACACGCTAGGAGTTATCCTATTGTTGAACTGTTAGAAACCATTAGATCCATGATGACTAGATGGTTTGCAGATCGAAGGAAAGATGCATTAAAAATGACAACATCTCTAACACGTGGGGTAGAGAAAATTCTACAGGTATTACTTACTCCTCCTCAAACATTTGATGCTACATGTATATATGTTTCACTAATAACAATCTTTTTTTGAACAGAGTCATATCTCCATTAGTAGTGTTAAGAAAGTCTTCCCTGAAAATCAAAACATAAGAGTGATTACAATGACAAAGTTACATTATGATATTTGAAGATAAATTAATTGTCAAGTCTTACTCGTCATCTGTCTCTAGGAAATCATACAATTGATGAATTTTCTCGTCAGAAACATGCATCATGTGATCAGGTATCGAGGAAGAAGGTTCTCCATCCGTAATGATGCGCTTCACTGTAGAGTTACCAAGAAACGGGTACTTTTGAGAACCAGCCAACTGTGGCACTCTTTTTCCCACATTAACACCCTCATCTAGATCCTTTAACTTCTCTACCATTGCTGTCAATGTTGCATCAAGTTCCTTATTAGCTTTCTGCAGTCCAGGATCCGAGTATGTGTCTTCAGAACTTGAAACCATTTTCAGAGCTTCTTCTTCAACTTTGTCAGTGATATCTACAACATCGTCTTCTTGGGTAGTAGATTTCTTCTTCATCTTATTACCAGCCTTAGAACCGTCTTTCTTAACAGCCTCTTTCTTCACCACAGCCTTCAAACCCTGGTTCTTAGCAGCTTTTTCTTTCACTGCAGCTTTCACCAGAGGCTTTGAGACTCCTATCTTGCCAGCCTCTGTAGCTTCTTCTTTCAGCGGAGCCTTTTCAGACTTTTTCCTCTCAGCCTTTGAACCATCTTTCTTTTCAATTAAGAGAAGATCTCCAGATGTTTCACCTTCTTTCTTTACTTTCTTCTGAACAGTATAAGTTTTCTTCACCACTCTTTGAACAGGCAAACCTTCCACTGAAGATGGCTTCTCCTCTACTTTCCAAGACTGCAAAAAATAATAAACGTTATCAAAACAGTATTTTCATTCACCATTTTGCTTAATAAGATCAACAACTTTAAAACTCACCAAACTATAACTTGCAGGAGATTTACTCGATGCACCTTCATCTTCATTGTTGATGGAATTGGCGACTTGGGCAGTAGGTATTGAAGCTGGTTTTGCTTGTTTCAGTTCCTTCAAATCAGTCTCGACTGCTACAATCCGTGAGTCAAAGGTATTCTCCAAGTCATCAATCCTACTACTCAGATTCTTACCCATGTCTACAATACTCCCATTCATTTTTTCCATCATCAATAAAATATCAGAGAAGCCTTTCTTGTCATCCTTATCAACCTACAATCAGTAAGATATTCAGATTTTTTTTTTAAAAAGTTGAAGCACAATAAGTACATTACTATAAAACACAACGAATCAGGAGTAGGCATGAAAACATAACCTGTATATCTTCTGAGACTATCTACTCGTCTTCTTTTAGAGTTTTGACTCTTTCTTCGCCAGAAAATTCAGCCTTTTTGATCTTTTCCCCTTCCGTGTGATACTACCTTCTTCATCAACAGTAGCTTTTACTTTCCGTTTCTTCTTAGACACACCAAAAGCTGGCACACCTTTCCAAGCATCTAAAGCCAATCGATTATGGATGGTGTCTTTTATCAAGTTGTCTAGTGCTGGATCCTTATCATCCTCTGCATTACTCCATTGAGGGTACATGTTTTCTTCAGTTACAGAAATCATGTGTCTTACACGCACCTATATACAACATACAAAATGTTAAATAAAAACTGCAGCTTAAATTAATAGGTTGGTGTTGTCATGACACTAAAAAAAAAAAAAAAGACTGCACCTTAAGTTTGTGTAAAACAGTCATAACACTTCAATAAAGTCAGATTCTAAATTTCACATTGCAGAGAAAGTACATGAAAAAGACACATAAAGAAGTTACTGCTTTGACACATAAAGAAACAACATTTAAAAGATCAAGAACTAACCTGCCCATGCAAAGTTTTCTCGTTTTTAATGAATTCTGTTAGGTCGATATCCTTCCGAGTTGACTGCCAATCAAGAAGTGGAATACCAGTCAAGATAGGCCTTCTCAACCCATAACCCTCTCCTAATCCAGGGAAACTCTCATACACCCACATAAGCAAAGCGTGAACGCATCCTTTAATAACAAAACCCTCTTTATTAAAGTCAACTGTCTTAACCGATTTAAGTAGACATTCAAAAGCCACTCGTCCCCACGGATATTTCTCAAAACTCACTGGATCAAGAACTCTTATAGCACTAGACAAAGGAAATCTAGATCCATGGTGCACTCCATGTATTGCCACTGATAATAAACACAACCTACCCACCATCATCCTCTCCTTTAAGTCCCATGCTTTGCTAAGATCCATCACAGTTCGCAACTCATTGAACTTTGGACCTTCTGAGATTGGTACTTTCATTGCCTCCCATAGCTCACGGTGATCAGCTTCAAACTTTTCAGACGGGTCAAATGGATCGTAATTCAGTCCTGTTATAGCAGCAAACTCATTTAAAGAGAACCGGACTGGTCTACCATCAATCATAGACCATATCTCATGAAAGTTATCCACTTTCAACTGATTTGTGAGGAATAGATGTACTTTTTTGGCAGCCCATGTGTACTCTAGTTCAGCTAGCTTGATAAACACACCTAGTGATGACTTCTCCAATTCATCCCACACATCAATACCTAATCCTTCTCTGATTTGACCAATCTTGGACAGATAACAATTGTGGTTCATGCTTCTATGTTGCAAAGGTGATTTTCCTTCTGCATATAGACGAGGAGGATATTTGAAGACATTACACGAAGACGCCATTCCTGAAGATTATCAAAATAATAAATCAGCATATAAGAGGATTCATACAATCAACTAATAAACAATTTAAAACAAATCTGATGCAAAACAAATTTATATCAAATGAATTTATCCAAAAAAGGTGTCATTAAATCTCTAACCTTGGATCACAATAACAGTGGCTGTAACGATCAGTTTTCATATCAAGATCAATAGATTTAGCTAATAAACTAATAGCATATAAGAGGATCAACATAATCAGCTTCAAAATCATGCCACAACATTAACTAGATCTTGAATCACCATATAAGAAGTACAAAAGGTTCAATTTAAATACCATCAAAACCAAAACATGTTAGAAACTAATGACTTTATCCAAAAGTCTGTCACTTACTCTCTAAAATAGGAAAAACTGTGGCAACTACGATCAATTTTCATCTGAATAAAATCGCAATTGGCAGGACAAAAGCCGAGACAAAAAAAAATCTGCGACTATCTTACTAAAGAACCATAAATCTGTAGCAAAAAAAATCCAAATTCATATCAAGCACATACCGGAATAAAGAAGTATTTTATGAATTCGATTGCAGATGTTACTGAAGAGGAAGATCTGCAACAAAAAAAAAAAAACTTGTCAATCAATATTGAAAATTGAACAGTGAAATAGAAATTTCTTGAATAATTTTCCTTATAAAAAACGATGATTTTGGAATCATTCCTTACCAACAGAATGAAGAAACCGGTGAATGCGACCAGAGATGCAATTGAGGAGGACGATCTGAAACAAACAAAATTTGTGGCAATTCAATTGAAAATTGAAATAAAATTGGAACCGAGAACTCAAAGCTTCACCAAGAAAAAACGAACCTCAACAACGGCGGATCGTAGAGATGGTGTTCTACGGCGTATTTGGCAGCTCCCCTCGAAGTCGGGGTGACGAACAAAAAAGATGTGGGACCCTCGAAGCCGTGAGAGAAGCAATCGTCCGTATCTGGGTCCTCTCCTCCAAGCTGCGGTGACAAACAGAGAAGCCTCAACGCCGTTTATGTGGCCGGAGAAGCAGAGCAGTCACCACCGGAGATTTCTGAGCGGAGGATTGAAGGAGATACGGCTAGGGTTTAATCTCAAAATCGACAAAGGATTAGAGGAAGAAGCACTCGCAAAGCAGACCCACGGAGACTCTAGCGTCAGTGGCAAACGAAGATTAGGGTTCCGGTGAGTCGCCGGAGATGACGGGACGACGGAGAAGTGGTACAAAGATGAATAACTCGAGATGATGGGATATTAATAAAAATGAATAACTCGAGATATTAGGGTACAAAGAAGATTTTTTTATTTATTTAATTTTAATTTAATTTTTATAGATTTTTTTTTTGGTAGAAATAAAAACAAAATGGGTTTTTGGTCTTTTTACACAAAATTTGTGTTATTCTAGTTAGCCACAAATATTGGGTGTTAATCTAGCAATTATCTTCAAAATTTGTGTCAAACTGGGTAATTTTATGTTAATATTTTGGAGATTTACGAAAAAGCAAAATAATAACCTCTGTTTTTTTTTACCCTTTCAAAAATCTATCACCTAAAACTAGCCTCACAAGTCACAACCGTATAAAACAAGTCAATTGTTTGATTTTAATTGCCTCGTAGATAAAAATAGAATCATCATTCGATTCCCACCTTAAATATCTAAATATGTTGTATGAACCGTTGATTCTAAATTACCTATTTAAGGACCTAAACCAAAAATAAATAAGAAGAAGCATACAACATTTTAGCAAAACTAAATTGTTTCCGATTGAGTTATATTTTTCCATCAGCTAGTAGATTAATATATCAGACATGAAGATCATTCCATTGATGTCCATTGCATTGGTCATAATACTCTTGACATCATTCCCGGCTCCCATCAAAGCTGTCCGTTTGAGTAGTTGCGAACATGAGTTTTACACATGCAGAGAAAAATTTAGGAAAGGAGTCGGTCAGGATTGTTGTTATAATTTCATGGGATTAGAAATAGGGAATAAGTCCCCATGTATGTGTTTGTTTATGAAGTACCCTAAGATGAAGCAACCTGCTCTCGACTTTTTTTTAGCTTGTGGTTTTAAAAATTATCCTCTCGATCAAGCTCTCTCTATTTTCTGTAAGTAAAACTCTCAAGAGATTTTCAAAAAATCCCCACAAAACATAGTTTTTTTTTAAATACTACTATATGTTGTCAATTTTTAAAAATACCCCATTGTTACCATCCGGGTTCAGACCTGGTTTTTCTATAATTTAATAAAGTTTCTATTTCATGTTACACTATATCATCCATAACCGCGACAAGCGGCCGCCACAAAGTATTACTCCTTTATTTAGCATGTAATGACTCGACCATTTGTGGATGTTGGAATCTTCACTCAATTATTTATTGAGGAATTAGGGTTCTCATTCCCGAGAAATTAATTATGTCGATTGCTTAAGCGAAAAGAAACGAAAGAGAAAGCGGTTTTATTGCGTAATAGAGTTTAGTACAAAAGCTTTTCCGTCTTCCTTACAATATATTTTGTTTCCTTTTTATAGAGTTCGAGCCTAAGACGTTACACTCTTTTAATCGAAAAATCACATTAAAAACCTTCAAAGTGGCAACCACTTACATTTTAAACCTTCAATATATTGAACTGACACAGTAAACCATCAAAATGACAATTATGTTACTATAAACCTTCACACTGACATTTGTGTTCGCTATCCATAGAAATTCAGGAAAAAAAATTGATTTCATCAATAATACTATTTGTTTTTCGTTATAAATAATGGCGTGGCTTTAATAAGTAATTTATTTTAATAAAAATTAATCATAACTAATTTTTCTATTTATCATCTCTACAATAATTATTTGAGAAGTAGAAACGCACCATATTGAAAGTTAGGGCATTGGAGGCATGTGGTTAAAAGTTAGAATGATTTGTCCTAAACACCCTTAATGAATTGTTCTTCTCGAAATTTCTCCTTCTTCGTAATTAGGGGTATATAAGTCTAATCGTGTGTTGATCTCTATAATAATGTCCTAAACACCCTCAATTCGAAAATTTTTGTTCTTAGTTGTTAAGGGTATATAAGTCTAATCGTGTTTTGTGATGATTAGTCTTAATCACCCTTAATTTTTTTTATTTTATAGTATGATCGTTGGGGATATGGAGGTCATAATATCTCGACTTTAATGATTATGGAATCTTAGCTTAAATTTATTTGTTAATTTTTTGGATAATTCTATAACTTAGCAGTTAAAATTCGTTTTTGTTAGTTTTCTGATTTTGTTTCTAATTAAAAAGTTAAATTTCTTAAGATAATGATTGATGTTTGCCCTAATCTTAAAGCTATATATATTGTTGATCGGCCAGAGGATTAGGTATTATTTTTCTGTGGCCATTAGATAGTTTTCACCGTTATGGTTTTTTTATATAGCTACTACGATTCTGATGAATCGAGTTGTTTGTCATGCAAATATTGTTTTCATGGACCTTTAAAGGTCGTGTGCATATTGTTTGTGTTGTTTGTTTTATTTTTTTGCATTATTCGATGATTTATTGTTTTGCTAATTTGGTGTTTTTGGTGTGTGTTTCAGTTTTGTATAACGTGGGAGGTTCCATCGACAAAGCTCTCTGACGAAGGTGGTGTTGACGAGCAAAGAGCGAGGTTTGGGGAGGTACTTCTATAGTTTTAATTTGTATATTTTGATATTTATTTACCCATATACATTTATGTTTTTTTTCCTGTTATCGTATATACTTTTATATGCGATTTTATTGCGTTTTATTTTTTAGTATTGATTTATAATTAAATTGTCAAATAGTTTTGAGTTTATGTGCAAGGTTTGACATGTTATTGTTTGATTTTCATCTTACCGTGATTTTGAAGGTACTCGATGAACTCATATCTCGGTTTGTGTCGGTTTATTGGAAACAGGTATTTCTCTTATTTGTATCTAATATGTTGGTTATTGTGGATCGGTTTTAGTTTGATATTAATTTTCTAACCTTTAAATGATGATTTGGCTTTTGTTTTTTGTATATATATTTCGCGATAATCAAATGTTACGGGTTATTCTTATTTCGTACCGTTGGCTTAGGTAACCGCTGATGTTTCCTTCTCCCGAAGATGCACGAATGATATGTTTTATTTTAATAAGGTATTTTGTCGAATATTGTGTATTTATTATGTAACGTAATAATCGTTTTATGTTTAATTTATATATTTGTTTCTCTGATGTTTTAGACCACACGGAATTGGCGTAGAAGATTTGTTGCTCCGTCGTGTTTTACAGATCGCGTGGGCTTTTGTAAGCATGTATGTTTATTCTCTTATTGTCTTATGTGTCATGACTTGTATATATAGACATCAGAATATCTTACCATTCTATAAGGTATGATTTTAATTGTTTCATTTGTTTGTAAAGGTTTTGAGTGGGCTGAAGTATTCATTACGACCGAATATTTTGAAAGAGGTATGTTGTGTGTAGTTTACGTATTTGTTAGATCCTATGTCCTATTATTATAGATGTCTTCGTGTTTTCTAAATTATTTGTTTGTTTTCTATTGTCGACTTATTTTTGGTTTTTTTTTTTTTTTTTTTTTTTGATGTAGAGGACTGAGATTGGTAGCAAAGCTAGGAGTTACAGCAGTATCTATTTGTTGTTTAGTTATATTGCTAAGGGTAGTGATGTATCTGTTGATAAATACGGATCATACCCTTTGGTGTTTGGTATTGATCAAACCGTACCAAATTTTGGATCGGGGCCTATATTTGAAGACTCTGATGATGAGTAATTATTTTATTTGAATTTGTTGCTATTTATTTTGGCTTCTATATATTTTATTTAGTTAATGATTAATATTCTGTTTTAAAAATTTATGTCGATCTAACTCATTATATCATATTAGCGATGGTTCGAATTATTCTTATTGGCGTTATCTATCTTAATATGGTGTGAGTTTTGTTTTGTGTATAATCTAGAGATTCACATAGTTATTAA